GGGCTCCCTGCTCTGCGGGAAGCCTGCTTCTCCCTCTGACCCTCCTCCCTCTCTCATGCTCTCTGTCTCTCATTGTCTCTCTCGCAAATAAATAAAATCTTAAAAAAGAAAAAAAAAAAAGATGGTAAAAGATAAAGGAAATTATGGAGGTCCTGATTATTTGATTCCACAAACATGTACTAAGCTCTTATTACATAACTCGTTCTGTAATACAAAGTCCGCATTATCACCCAAAGGGGTTCCTCTTCTTTGACAGAGGTTAAGAAACAGTAACTACTCCCTTTTAAATGAAGATTAAGGCTCATTTGAATTGCATAGCCACATACCTCAGCTTAATGTCTAACAAGCTGGAGTAATTTTAGCTGAGAAAAGGCACAGTTTAAATACCAGGTCTAATATCAAGTGGTGAGTACACAACCTAGCCTGAACTTCAGTCTCAAAAGGGATCTAGTCTTGGAATTCCAATGTCAGTAAGACCTAAACTTGTCCTTTGACACTTTTTTTCTTAACTCTACTCTTGGAATTTAGATTGTATATACAATGCAGTTCTATAAGACCAAGAGGAATACTGTTGATAGTATCAAAATTAAAATGAAAGAGTACAAAACAATAGTTTGTAAACTGCTAAACAATACAGTTTGTTATTATTATTAGTTGTTCTATAGTAGAATGGAGATCATCTGGGCAATTTTTCTAAAACACACCTTCTTAAATTTGTCCACTAACACGAACCTAATAGAGAAAAAATATAGACCTCTAAGCAGTCTACACACAAGTAAGATTTGTTCAAAATTTGTGTGTACTCATAAAAAAAGCATGCCAATATTATATTTTACCTTATAGTATACCTAGGAAAATCTTCCTCAAAGATATTTTTTTCCCCTCAAAGATATTTTAAGAAAAGATATTACACCTAGAAGTAGGCAAGTCTAAGAATAGAATCATATATAACAGCATTCTTTGTGGCCAAGAAATTCCCAGTGAAGAGTGGTTTTCCAGACCTTCACAAGCACAGGGATGTTTGAGAGACCTATAGTAACCAGAAGTGTCAGCCGTCTACACTGATCTTCACTATGCAGGTTCCTTCTCGTACCTGGAAAATCAGCCTCAGTTAACTGTTCATATTTCAGGCCCCAGGGTCGATGGTGAGATGACTTATGCATAATGAGGACATTAAAATCTGTTAAAAGGACATACTTGTGGGAACATATTCAATTAAGAAAAGTGTTCCTGGGCCGCCTGGGTGGCTTAGTCGGTTAAGCGTCTGCCTTCAGCTCAGGTCATGATCCCAGAGTCCTGGGATCAAGTCCCATATCCGGCTCCTTGCTCAACGGGGAGCCTGCTTCTCCCTCTGCCTGCCGCTCCCCTTGCTTGTGCTTTCTCTCTCTCTAAGAAAAGTGTTCCCTATTTAAGTGATATAATAGAAATAAATAACTTATTATTTAGATTTAACATGGAAATGATTTCCATTATTTGAAGCATTTAATTAATATTTTATTTATTTATTTTTTAAAGATTTTATTTATTTATTTGACAGAGAGAGA